GTAAAAATCGCAATTATTATATATGTATATACTTATAACATATAGGTGAAATGGAAGAAACAGTAATTCAGAGAATGTATACTAGGACTGCTGATGGGGTAGTAGGAGAGATGTTAAAGAGGGCCGTCAAGAAGGCGTCACTGAAAAGATGAGGCATGAACCAAGACTGAAGGTAGTTGAAAGAGTTACCCAAGAGGAAACACAGAGAAAAACATTCCAGGCAGAGGGACAGAGCAAAGGTCCTGGGGTGAGAGCATGTCAGGTGTATTCAAGGAAGAGCACTGAAGGAGGCCAGTATGGCTAGAGTGAGCTAGCAAGATGAGTAGGGAAGGCAGGCAGATCACACAGGGCCCTGAAATCCATTGTAAAGCTTTTACTTAATATGAAATAAGGAGTCACATGTTAAAGTTTTTAAAAGGATCTCACCATGGCTGCTATGTTTGTTTTGTTTTGTTTTTTTTAAAGATTTTTTTTTTTTTTTTATTCATGAGAGACAGAGGGAGAGAGAAAGGCAGAGGGAGAAGCAGGCTCCCAAGGAGCAGGGAGCCCGATGCGGGACTCGATCCCAGGACCCTGAGATCATGACCTGAGCCAAAGGCAGACACTTAACCATCTGAGCCACCCAGGAGCCCGCTATGTTTGTTTGAGAACAGACTGTAATAGACAAAGGTGGAAGCAGGGATATCAGTTAGGTGGCTTAGCTGAGACAAGCAGCAGGAGAGGTTTTGAGAAGTGGTTGGATTCTGGATATATTTTGAAGGTTGACAGCCACTCTTTCCTAGCAGACTGGATATAGGATGATGGAAAAATTGGGTTGTCAAAGACAGCTGAGCTACAAAGAATGAAATTGCTAGCAACTATTCTGAGGCAAAACCCTAAAGTGGCACTTCAGTACAGATGTTACAGGCATTCTATCCTGATTTACTTGGTCTCATCAAATCTTAACTTTTCTTTAAGTCCACCCCTCTTTCTCTCCTCCCAAGCAATAACCTAATCAGGGAAGGCCAGTCTATTAAAAATACATGATGATGCTTCTCAGAGAAACTGTGGCTATGACTGTAAAGACAGACACCCTCTTCCAGAAAGCAACCCCAGGACTAGTAAATGTGTGATGGCTAGTCAAGCGACAAGGGAAAGTTTCCATGTGTCAATTACTGGCTGTATGACTTTAGGCAAGTCATTTTTCCTCTCTCTGCCTCATTCTTTTGTGTTACAGTAAGGATAATATCGTCCAAGGGCTACTGTGAATACCAAGTGAGCGAACGGGTATCCAGCAGTCAGAGCGGCATTTAGCACAGAGTAAACAACACGTAAGGGTTGCAAGTATTACTATCATTGTCGTTAAGTCTTTTTGTTAATTCTCAACCTCAGAATAATTGTACGAGAAATAATACCTAGGGAGCTGAGTCTAATATACATTTCCAAAAACGTGAATAACCTAACACTAAGGTACACTGAGTACAAAGGGCAAGTTGCTGGTAGTGTCATGGACGCCTAACTGCCCTAACTCAGTCACTGAAACACTACAGGGCAAATATTACCCACTGTATGTGCTGGGCAGGGAAAACATGGATTCAAACCTCCTATCTCTGTGATTTTAAGAAATTGACCTATCACAGAAGCCCCATGAACTTCTCTGAACCTTTCAATTCTAGTTGTCTGAGCTGTCTCTAAGGATAAAGATGGTACTTGACCACTTCGGCTTTTGTGATATACTCAAGGATGCTTCAGCTATAGTTTTTAAATGTTTACTAATCGGGCGCCTGGGTGGCTCAGTTGGTTAAGCGACTGCCTTCGGCTCAGGTCATGATCCTGGAGTCCCAGAATCGAGTCCCGCATTGGGCTCCCTGCTCAGCAGGGAGTCTGCTTCTCCCTCTGACCACCCCCCCCCCCAGCTCTTGTGCTCTCTTTCATTCTCTCTCTCAAATAAATAAATAAAATCTTTAAAAAAATAATAACAAAGGTTTACTAATCATCTACCAATATAATTCAGAAGTTAAAATCTATACCTATTTCTATATGCTACTTAACTTAAACAAGTCTGTTCCCTTCTCCCAGCTTCTGATACTGAACGAATTTCTACAGAAATGCCCCTGAACAACAGACTTAACCAGGCAGGGATTCTCAACCCTACCTGTATCTTCGAATTACCTGGAGAACTTTAAACATATTAATGCCAAGGCCCAGTCCTAGATTTCTGGTGTAATTGAAACCAATATTAAGAACCACAGATAGGTAAATCCTAGCAGTATTATTTATTGAATTTTGGGAGACAGAGAGAATATTGTTTAAATAGTGAATGAGCATTTCTGGGTTTAAACTAGCATCATTGTATGAACTGAGTTCTGGGATAAGAAGACACTAGGAACCTAGATTAGAAACCTTTTTAACCTGCCCTAGAGTCTCTTAAGCTATCCTGAACTTCCAAAACAAGAGTTGGTGGTCTTCCAAATGTTTTCTCAAAGCTGACTTGATGACCAAAACTGAGATTTCTTTCAAATGAAATAACACACAATACTATTCTATTTTCCTCCAGCAAAATCCTTCTAAGACTTAGTGCCAAATACCTGGTAATAATTACTCCCCCCCACCCCCCGCCCCAGATTCCTTGCTATAGTCAATAATAGTATGCAGCTTGGCCCTAAGAAACATGAATCTTCCTTTTGTCTGTATTTTTCTAATTCATTATATAAAACATAAAGTCTCTCCCCAATATAAGTGCACAACATGGAGAAATTACTTCCAAATGTTTTTGCCTATCAGCATTGTATAAGACTGGGTAATGGCTTTCTATAATAAACTCATTCATTCCTTTAAAATATAATACTTATTGGGCGCCTGGGTGGCTCAGTTGGTTAAGCGACTGCCTTCGGCTCAGGTCATGATCCTGGAGTCCCTGAATCAAGTCCCACATCGGGCTCCCTGCTCGGCAGGGAGTCTGCTTCTCCCTCTGACCCTCCCCCCTCTCATGTGCTCTCTCTCATTCTCTCTCTCTCAAATAAATAAATAAAATCTTTAAAAAATATATATATATAATACTTATTAAATCTTTACTATAGGGGTGCCTGGGTGGCTCCGATGGTTAAGCATCTGCCTTTGGCTCAGGTCATGATCCCAGGGTTCTGGGATCGAGCCCTGAATCGGGCTCCTGGCTCAGCAGGAAGCCTGCTTCTCCCTCTCCCTCTGCCTCTCCCCCTGCTCATGCTCTCTCTCTGTATCTCTGTGTCTCAAATGAATAAATTTAAAAATCTTAAAAAAATAAAAAGTAAATAAATCTTTACTATATGCTAGACATTTCCTTCAGCTGCTTGGATCATACCAGTGATCAAGACAGACCAGACCTTAATATCCTTCTAGATGCCTTTAAATGCATGAATTTAAAGTATAACTGTAGTTCAAAGACATCTAAAGAGATTAAGATAATTTCTGCACTAGAAATTCATGTGAGGGCGCCTGGGTGGCTCAGTTGGTTAAGCGACTGCCTTCGGCTCAGGTCATGATCCTGGAGTCCCGGGATCGAGTCCCACATTGGGCTTCCTGCTCAGCGGGGAGTCTGCTTCTCCCTCTGACCCTCTTCCCTCTCATGCTCTCTGTCTCTCATTCTCTCTCTCGCAAATAAATAAAATCTTAAAAAAAAAAAAAAATCCGAAATTCATGTGGAACCCTAACTTACTAAGTGTTTACTAAAACCAGATGTTATATTAGTCCCTTTAATATGTGGTACTCATTTAATAAAGTTGCTGTCCTGCAGAGACGACAGTACTATTTAAAAGAAATTACAAGAGGCCAAACAATGAGAAAACTCTTTCCTTTAGCAGTTTAAATTTGGCTTTCCACACTAGAGGGAATTCTCCATCCTAAAGCTGTCAAGAATGACTTATGACAGAGTTGTGTCAATTCACTCACACAAGAAATTTTTTCATCTTAGTTCAACTACATCAACTGTGAGAAGACTTGGGGGTTAAAAAAAGAAAAATCACGTTGTCATAAGAATATATTTCCAATTTCACATTTTTTAAGTTGAAATTATGCAAACTGTTTCAAGCATGATGTATAAACTACCTACCCATATTAAGCCACATAGCTTAAGGATAAATTAGTACTAACGAATATACTGCGAGACAAAATTAATAAATACACATTACTAGGTGCAGTGATCAGTCCTTTAACTTTACAAACACTAGTCCAAACATCACTCAGCTCAATCAGAAATCCACAGGACTGTAATTCTGCCCCAAGCAAAAACTGGGTGACAACCCAAAGATGTCTCCAAACCATTTTGATAATAGAGTTTGTTGTTTCGTTGTGTTTTTTTTAAGTATTCAGGTGAAGCTATTTGATTCCAATCCTGCACACACACACACACCCAAAAAAAATCCTTTTTAAAATTGTTAACGGAAATAGGAAACTGCCAATTGGGATCAATTTGTAAGTTTCCGGGAAAGCTGATACCCGCCAACCCTGTTCCCCCAACTCCAGGTAGAGACTGATTCCAAAATGGGATTCACTCCTCATTTACGCCAAGGATCATCCATTCCCTTCGCCTTCTAAAGGACAAACGAGCTCACCCTTCCCGTGAATAACTTGGCTTGTGGCTACGTTCACACAGTGGCTGGAGCGCAGGCTCTCGGGCCGCCCCCGCCCCAGCACTGGCCGCTCAAGTCTGGACAAGGGCCAGCTCTTGTCACCTCTCGACCTGCACCCCTCCGCCCCCGCGGTACTCCCGAGCCGTCCACCGGCAAAGTTTCCCCGCCGCTCGCTCGGGGGCACAAGCCAGGGGGCCTCTCGGGGTCTCCGGGACCCCGGAGCTCCCGGGGTTACCGGGACGAAGACCCGGTCCTGCCCTGATTACAGAAGCAGGCTGAGAAAGCCAAAGCAGCCTCGGCCATACAGACGCTGGGGGTGCAGACAGAGCACCGCGGATGCAGGAGGGGTGTGGGGACGTCAGGAGCGGGCTCGGCGAGGCCGCCGCCCCGCGACCCGGACTCGCCCGCGCTCACCGTCGATGTTCTCCCGGTCGCTGATGTGCTGCAGGTTGCAGCCCGTGTCCTCGCGGCTCAGGTCCGTGTCGGGCCGGTAGGACTCCAGCCGGGAATGGGCATTCCTCCGGAGCTTGGGGCTGGACGACACGCAGCACGAGGTAGTGTTCCCCATCTTCGGTGGCCCCCAGACTCCTGCTGCTCTCGCCTTCCTCCCCGTCCCCCGGAGCGGGGCGCGGGCGGGCGCGGGGCGCGGGCGTGGAGGGGAGGCTCGCCCGCCCGCCCGCCGCCGCGGGAGGGGGCGGAAGCCGCGGCCGGCCCCCGGGTCAGCAGCGGCGGCGGCGGCGGGGCCTCGCCATGGGCGGCGGCGACGAGCGGGCGGCGGCCCCGGCTCCCCCTGTTCCCCCTCGGCCTCCGCGCTCGCCCGCCTCCGTTCGGCGGGCCTGTCCGCGGCGGAGGAGCGCTCGGGTCCGCGCGACTGCGGCCGCCGAGCCTAGCTCACCCCGCCGCGGCCATGGCGGGCGGCGCCGCGCAGGCCGCCTCCCCCCTCCCCGCGCTTCCCGGACGGCGCCCGGGTCCCCTGCGGCGGCGGCGGCGGCCTCCGCAAGAGGTTCCGGTTCAAGCGGGGGAGCCGCGTGTCCGTGCGGGGCGGAACGGCAGGCGGGCGTGGGCACGGCTCTGGGGCCCGGCGCTGCGAAGCCAGGCGCTGCCCGCGAGGATGCTCGGGAGCCCTCCCCCGCCGTCGGCGCCCGTCCCCGCCGCAGCCCCCGCCCCGCCCCGTCGCAGCCCCCGCCCCGCCCCGTCACCGCCTCTTCCCTCTGCCCTGGAAGCAGATCGGCGGCCGAAGAGGGAGGTCCCGTGCCGGCGCGGCCCCGCGCAGAGTGTGGGGTCGGGGCCCGGGACTGCGCCGCACGCAGGCAGGCGTAGGAGCCACAGACCCCGCGGTTGGAAGGTCGGCGTCGCGAGGCCCTTTCTTTCCCGCTCTCCGCGTCCTCCACCTCCCCCGGGCCTAACGCTGGGACGAGAGGTGTGTGTGGCGGACCTACGCCGCCCTGGGGCCAGCGCGGTCCCCCGGGGCGGGGGCGCAGCCGAGGAGCCTGAAGGAGGGCTGGGGGCACACGGTGGAGAAAGGGTGGGGATGCGGCCGCCTCCCTAGGGTGCGCGGAGGCTGTGTTTCTCCCACACCGCGGGGAGAGGGGGTTCTTTTATTTTGAAAGTATTTAAAAGAAAACTGGTCCTGATTTGGGACTTCTCGCTTCTGTTTTGAGTTTTGCCAGGACTTAATGGTGAACTTGTTTTAAGCCGTAAGATAAATCTGGGGGACCCCTGGGCTACATTAATGTGGAATTAGCTGCAGTGTTTTGAGTTTCTGGGAAATTAATGTGAAGTAGAGACAGATAACATCAGCAATCCTTTACTTTTCAGTTCTGTGGGGTTTTGTCTTGCTGAGATCAGCCTGATCTGAAGCATGTTAGCTAAGATAAAGGTATGTGAAAGTGCCTGGCTCACGAGAGATGTTCAGTAAATCGTGGGTTCCATTCCCTCCTGGCACCCCAGAAAGACCTTCTTGCCTAACGCGGCAGAAATAACCTTCCCACTCTTTCCAAATAGTCAATGGAGTCATGAGAAGACTCAGGGGAAAAATGGCTTTGAACACAAAAAATATGGTGCAACCCTCCTAATTTTATATCTGAGGAAACTGAAGTCGAGAAAGATGAAGTGCCTTGATTTGTCCAAGGTCCCAGTACTAGTTAGTGACAGATGCAAATACTGAAAGAGAAGAAAAGGAGTAAGGAAACTCAATACTTACATAGCATCAGCAACATGTGGACATCTTGCCTGAGGCTTTATAAACACTTATTTCTTTTAATTCTTGATACCTAGCCTTTTTTACAACCTGTGCTGTCTCTCTGTCTTGCACTCATAAACATGAGTACACTTATTAGTCAATAATCAAAAAAGCCTCATGCTCTGAACTGGATTAATGCCATTTGTTGCAGTAAGTGGCAAATGTCCTTGGAAAACAAATGGCAGCAAAGTGCTGATGTTGACCAGATGAGAAAGGAAATGTAAAAGGGAAGTTCCAAAGAATTGCAGCCCTGAAAAGGTGGGTAAATAGCAACAAGACAAAATAATCCTCATTTATTAAGACAGTTCTGACTCTCTTGCTTCCCAGGAAAGTTTGAATGGGACATAACTGCAAATCAGTGAATGTGTATATTCACATTTTCGGGGCTACAGTGTGTGGGTAAGATGGATGAAAATTGGGACAGGGGTTATATCATATTGTCTGTTCTGATTGCTGTTTTGCAGTTGGGGTACTATGAGCATCCAAATACTGAACCATAGGTGTATGGCATATCCACTTAGGCATATTAAATTGTAGAATTAATTGTAGAATTAAATATTTATATCAGTGATACGCTTTGAAGGGTTTAAGAGGAGAGGCAGAATAGCTGTCTGCAAGCTTTGTGTGCTGGCGGGTCATCCGGCAGTGTTAACTGAAAAGAGCGTCTGGAGGTGAGGGAAGACAAGACTGGGGGTCAGGGTAGCCACAGACTCTTGCCAAAGGATGGACAGCCATTGGTCGGCAGGGGCTTTTCTGTCCCCCACCTTCCCCATCCCCTCTTAGACATTCCTGACATGTGACTTTTACTCCACAGGGCCAGGACTAGTACTAAAGCCTCATCAGTGACTTTGCTGAGTGCCATGCCCCCCTGCCAGCCTTCGTGCACCACCACCACCAGACACACACGCACACACTTCAAACTCCTCCAGGCAAGGACACCTGCTCCTTGAAACATAGTGACACTTTAGGAGAGGTTGCAGAAGCAAAGCGATGCCAAGATGAAAATGAAATGTATTATTTATTAAACACTTGCTAGAAGCCATGCTCTGTACTAAGTATTTTTTACATTTAAGCCTATGCTGTTTCCCACATTTTACAAATAAAGACACTTTAATTCTGATAATTAAACCTAAGATCAGCCTACTGAGAAAAGGCCTAAGTGGAGATATTAACTTTGGTTCTGACTGCTAAGTCCGTAAGGTCCCCTCCCAGCTGTATCATCCAAACACCTCCAGATTTCACTGAACAAGAAGGGAACAAAGAAGCAGATTAGAATAATGAGAGAAGAAATCTGCAAAAGTTTTGAGTGGGAAAGAGTCTAGTGTTTCTTCTCTCCTTTTTTCTATCTCTTTTTGAAGGAAGCTGGCAGTACTGGTTAGGCCTAGTTCTAGACTTGAAGAAGAGAGGGGATCCTTATTTCTTTGGGCCCCACCCTTCTGACCAGAGTAAGTAGACAGGCAAGAAGGTTGAAGAGAAGCATATGCAGAAATGTGCATTTAGCCACAGTGTCTTTGACATTGCATCACTTGGGAATCTAAATTCAAGGACACTTCGTAAATAGAGTAAATCTAGCCCAGGATTGGGGCCAGAGGGAGAGAGAGAAGGTGAGCACTGCAACCCAAGGCCCGCATTCTCAAATCCTTCAGCCTTTTGAGAGAACATCAACCTGGATATACCCATAACCTACTCTGCTCTTTAAGTAGAAAGAATCATTTGGGTACTTTTTTCCTTCGCCTTTCTCTGTAATTAAGATTTTGGTCATTGTGGAACGCCTGGGTGGCTCAGTCAGTTAAGCGTCTGCCTTCAGCTCAGGTCATGATCCCAGGGTCCTGGAATCAAGCCCCACATCGGTTTCCCTGCTGAGCAGGGAGCCTGCTTCTCCCTCTGCCACTCCACCTGCTTGTGCTCTCTCTCTCTCTCTCTGGCATATAAATAAATAAGTAAATCTATAAAAAATTTTTTGTTCTTGGGGCACCTGGATGGCTCAGTCGTTAAGCGTCTGCCTTCAGCTCAGGTCATGATCCCAGGGTCCTGGGATCGAGCCCCGCATCGGGCTCCCTGCCCGGCGGGAAGCCTGCTTCTCCCTCTCCCACTCCCCCTGCTTGTGTTCCCTCTCTAGCTGTCTCTCTCTCTCTGTCAAATAAATAAATAAAATCTTAAAAAAAAAAAAAAAATTTTTTGTTCATTGTGAAGAGGTGAATATGGAAACTCAGGTGAACGACCTAAGTCATTGCTCTTCAAAATTTTTTTAGCAGCAGTAGCTTTTTTTTAACAACATTTTCAATGGACCCACAATATTTAAAACATATGATCGATATTAGCATTAACCTTTAAGATCTACTTATGAAAAACAAACTATTGAGAATAAGCTACCTTAATTGAATCAGGTAGATCATAATTATAGTCTTACTTCAGTCACATTTATATCCATGAAATATGAATCACTCCCTAGAATACAGAAAACACTGAGCCCAGTTAATGCAGGGCCTGGACTTTTGGTCCAAAGAAGGAAAATGGATAGAGTCTGGGGGAAAAAAACCTTCCCAGAGTATAGCTGCCCTTTTCTTATCACCTGGTAACCGGTTTCCTGTGTTAGTCAACATTTGTAAGGCAGTAATGGAAAAACCAAGACGCTTTGTTGTACCACCAACACTCTTCCTGTCACCATTTTATTTTCCAATGACCTCCCCTCCAGATAAGGCCTCCATCTAGTACTTGAAGCTAGGCAGTCCAAAATGTGACCAGCTATTGGGGAAGTATTTACTTTGATAGCCACTTGACCTTGACCAATGTAATTGATTCATTTATTGATAAAACATTTCTTAAAAGTGTACCGAGCCAGGCACCTTAGGGATACAAAAATGGGTAAGATTTAGTTCTCACCCTTGAGAAGCTCATCATCCGGTAAGGTAAACAGTCAAAAGATCCGGTGTAGAGTATGTCCAGCAATGTGAATGATTGTAGTCACTTACTGGTAAAATCTGAAGACTATCAAGACTACTACCTATAATTAAAAACCTTTCTTGCCTGTGGATACATCTAAAATTCCACTATGGGAAATTTACTCCTATGAAGTAAAGAATTATATCCAGAGATTGTCAGAATGAAAATTCCCCCAAGCAATTAAAGATGATGGCTAGTAGATTTAAACACTGATGCCAAGTCCCTTGGACTAGAGTAACTGCCAGAAACAATGTGTTGAGAAGGATTCTGAGGTCATATTCCAGCCCAACAGGGAAATTGAATGCTGCCATAAGGAAAGGAGGAAGTGGAGAAGATAGCACTGGTGCCATGTATTTCCTATCCATGAGTAAAACTTTTGTTTCTGGAATACTGAAGCCAGGGATAGCCATAGTCTCTGGGTTTCTGGGCGAAGGTCCACTTAGAAGCTGATTTATCTACCATGCGACTGAGAATTCACCACCTGTCCCCAGGCTAACCAGCCTTAAGAAGTCTAATCTCTCTCTTGCCCTTGCCAAACTTACCTGCTTTATCCCTCCATGCTCACCAACAATAGAAATGGTAAAGGTATGTGCAGTCTCTGAGAACTAGGATGTGCTTTTGATAAGGCAAATCCCAGCATCTCACAGGGTCAGACTGGAAGAGGCTGTTACTTCTCTACCCAGTGTCAGTCCTCCCATCTTCCTTTTAATGGAGCCCTCCATTTTGTGGGGACCAGCAGTACGCCTGCCTCGGAGGTGACAGCTGGCCATGTGACTTAAGTTTAGCCAATGATATGTGAGTGGAGTCTTACAGGAAAGCTCTCTGAAGGTGTTTCCTCTTCTCTGCTTCTTGGAATGTGGACATGATGGCTGGAATTCTAATGTGCACTTTGGAATACCAGCTGACCTTGAAGATGAAAGCCATCTACAGCCATGTCCTTGTATGCTTGTTTTACATGAAAGAAATAAACTACGTTGTATAAGCCACTGTTATTTTGAGTTCCCAAGTAATATGCAGCCAAATCTGATCCTGATTTGGCCAGGATTTTATATTATCCTTTGATAGAGTCTTATGTCTCTGTCAACAGTTTTCACTGATTCGCCCTGAGATAATGGGGACTCTGACCTAGAACTGTGCAGTCATCTTATATACTTGGCTCCCCAGGTATTTTGCTATTCCAGCAAAATCCAGGCTGGAATAGGAAAATGCAGTAGGCAGGTTCTGGAGTCAAGATTGGATTTTGTGGCAAAAAGAAGTGGTTTCTCCAAAAGACAGATTAGTCCCCATGGAAATTAAAAGAAGTAAATGCCTGGGGCGCCTGGGTGGCTCAGCCATTTAGCGTCTGCCTTCTGCTCAGGTCATGATCCCAGGGTCCTGGGATTGAGCCCTGCATCGGGCTCCCTGCTTGGCAGGAAGCCTGCTACTCCCTCTCCCACTCCCCCTGCTTGTGTGCCCTCTCTCGCTGTCTCTTTCTCTCTGTCAAATAAATAAAATCTTAAAAAAAAAAAAAAGAAAAAAGTAAATGCCTGATGCATTATTTTAATATAGCACTCCTTCAGTATTCCCAGAACTAGAACCAAAGCTTCCTATGAGCAGGAAACTATGAACACACCGTGGTATTTATGCTGAATATCCACCTGACCTAGGACATTGATTCTTTCCTGTCAAAAAGGTGTTTTGTTTTGTTTTGTTTTGTTTTCTGGACCTCTCTTCATGACTCCTCCATTGACTATTTGGAAAAAGGGTAGAAAGTTGGTTTCTGTCACCTTGCATTCTTCTGAACACAGGCAAAAAGTCTTTCTAGTCTAAAATAGTTGGCATTGGGGGCATTGGTGGGGGATTTATTGAATGTCTCCCGTGAGCCAGGTACTTTCACATACCTTTATGTTAGTTAACTGACTTCAGTTCAGACCCTATTCCCAACATGACAAAACCCAGCAGCATTTTAAAAGTAAAATAAGGATAGTTGATGAATTGTGTTAATTTATTGCCTCTACCTTGCATTTTTAACCTCCAAGGTACTCCAAACACTCTGCAGCTATAATTCAACATTCAAATGGCTCTGGGGTCCCCAGGAGCAGCCACGTAGATCCTACTGAAGCAGACAATCCTGTCACTCCCCTGCTTAAGATTTGTCAATAGCCTCTCACTGCCTATAGAATAAAAATTCCACTCTGCCTGGCATTCAAGCCCACCTTTTCTCCAGCTGGTCAAAACTGCTCAGAATGCACTATCCGGCCTGCCATGCCATTCCCGTCCCGCTTTACTTGTGTGACCCCATCACCTAAACACCCTTCTTCCTCCACTGCCCAGCTCCACGTTTTTAATCCTCAGCCTTCAAGGCCCAGCACAAGCACTGTTTTTTCTTAGTCCCTCTGCTGGAAATCATAAACTCACATAGATTTTATCTAAAACCACTCATCTCTTCCTACTTGTTTTTATGAATTAATTTGTTTTATCTTGCCTACTAAACTCTAACTCTGAAAGGGCACCCGTGTTTGCTTCCCTGATTGTTCTTTGTGGCCCTTTGCCACAGTGCCTGGCATATAGGATGAGCTCAAAGACTATTTGTTACCTGAGTAAGAGTTGTGGCAAGTACCTAAACATGCTCCCTCCCTTTTTAATCCCGGTTTCTCTACATTCTTTATTCTCAGCAGGAGAAGAACAGACTGAACAGGGGCAGGGGAAGGGAGTTATTGGTGATGACTGTACAAAGTCTTCACTGATAATTCCCTTTTATTATATGTTGAAATATTTGAGGAAATATGTCTTGCATTGTGAAGCTTTTGAGATTCATAGAGATCTATAAGCAATAAAGTGTTCATTACCTTTTATGCCTTCTTGTGAATTAATTAACCAGGAAAACAGCCCTTATGAAATGGAGTTGTGCTTTTCAGAGCCTTGCTCTGACTGTATTAGAAAGAAACATTAGAGAGAAAGTATCATTCATTAACTTGTTTACTTCAAAAAGAGAAGTTGGAATCCCAGAGCTTAGGTTGCCATGCTTCATGGTTTTTTTTAAATCTGAAAGCACCCAATCCCAGAAGAAAAAAGGTAATATGCAGTATGTGTGTGCATGTGCAATGCGTACATACCCAAAAGCCACATTCATTCAGGTGACAAATTTTGCCAATTTGTCCAAGTCAGTGAAGGGACAGATTGCCCATGTCTGGAGATTTTTTTTTTTTTTTTTTTTTTTTTTAGATTTTATTTGCGAGACAGAGAATGAGAGACAGAGAGCATGAGAGGGAGGGAGGAGGGTAGGAGGGAGAAGCAGACTACCTGCCAAGCAGGGAGCCCGATGCGGGACTCGATCCCGGGACTCCAGGATCATGACCTGAGCCGAAGGCAGTCGCTTAACCAACTGAGCCACCCAGGCGCCCTGGAGATGTTTTTTATTGCCACCACTGGGGAGGGAATGCTCCTATGTCTAGTGGTAGGAGCCAGAGATGCTGCTGAACATCCTATAGTACACAGGACAGCCCCCACAGCAAAAACTAGCCCAAAACGGCAGTAGTGCCAAGGCTGCAGAATCCTGTCCAAATTGGCCAGTCAGTCACTGCACAAATGTTACTGATTCTTTCCATTAGGAGGTACACATCCTTATACTTTTCATAGCATCTGAAAGAAAATAACAATTCGTTACCTAGTTTAGCTTCCCACCAAAAACTGTTTAAAAGGAAAAAGTAATACTTGTTTTCAAAAGACAAAGACAGTTAATTTCAAAACACTCCTTAAGATTAACTTCTATAAGAGGGCTTTTAAACAGTCATTCTGGTTCCAGTTTTCCCACATCACTCTAGAAATGCATATATGTGAGTAAGCCTGGAAGTCTGCCCAGTTGCAAATAAGCAGGCCTGTAACAGATTTTTTTTTCTTAAATGAGAAAAAAATCTACTAAGAGCTTAAAAGCTAAAAGAGCCTTTGAGAACATTGTTGAGTTGAAGTGCAAGGCACAGAAAACACCACTGAATTTATTCTAAAGTCAGAGGTGGTGACATTTCCTTCATATTAGCCCTCATTCAATATTTTGTTAATATTTTTCCCTTTATTGAAAGAGACAGGATTTCCTTTGACCATTCAATCATCTCCCATATTTTTTTCTTTTACAGTAATGTTATCATACTATATATAAAATTTGATAGCCTCCATTTTTTTTCTACTGTCTGAAGTACTTTCCCAAACCAGTGAACATTTTTTAAAAACTATCACAACTGGGAGTTCCTGGGTGGCACAGTTAAGCGTCCGACTCGGTTTTGGTTCATGTCATGATCTCAAGCGCCCTGGGATCAAGGCCCGCATCAGTCTCCACATTCAGTGTGAAGTCTGCTTGAGATTCTCTCTCCCTCTGCCACTCCCCACCCCCCGCCAACACACACACACTCTCTCTCTAAAATAAATAAATCTTAAAAAAAATATATCACAACTGCAAAATATATCCTATAGATGTGCCATAATTTATTTAACATTCCACAATCATTGGACATTTCATTTGTTTCTTTTCAATATAATAAAAAACAATTCTGAGGTGTGCATTTTTATATATTGATCTTTTTTTTTGCATCTGCTTATTTCCATAAAAGGAATTAGTCTCAGTCATTTTGACCAGATAGGAACATCTTAAAATCTCTTGATAAGTGTTGCCATATAATATTTTAGAGAGTTCATACCATTTTGCACAAATAATTGTTTCCTTACTGAAACAATAAGCTCAGAAAGGAACTTCTGGCCATTCTATGATCTGTAATTGGATGAGTTTCCATTGCCTCTAACAACATTTTAAACACACCAATATCACAGAATTTATTAATATCTATCATTTTTTACCCACATTTCTCCAAGTAAACTCTGAAGTGGAAAGCAGAACTTGTCTTACTTTTTGTAGCCCGAGTACTGTGAACAGTAATGCCTAACAGACCCTCCACTTCTGAGAACAGCAACACCTGACAGGCATCAAGGCACTGTCGGGTAAATCCCAAGAAGCAGTAATTTTCTCAATCTTAGTTTCCCTGTGATGGACCACAACAGTTTTGCACACCTAACAAAGGGAAGCTGCATACAATTAGAGAGCTGTATTCTAAATCCAGCCCTGACAATTCTTCAGCATGTTGTTTTTCTAAGTTCTAAATTTCTTCAGTGTATCCTGTTATTTCTACTTTTCCTTCTGTCCAGCAGGTGAACTTACAGTTGATATAACCTGCAATGTTTCCTCATGATAATATCACCTTACCCCAAGACCTTCAAGAGCCTACAAAATGACTACGTGACTATTAGAAACCTCCTAGAAATTTCTTCCTTTTGCTTAGCTTTTATCCTTCTGCATTTCCTGGGGACCTTACCTTGGCACGGTATATGATGCTAAGTTTTAATGAATGTCAAACAGTCACTGTATGGTAAATGCCAAGAAAAACAATAAGTGATACAAAGAAAGAAGTGAAAATCTGTACCTTCTGCCTTTATCCCAGCTCCACATCTACACATTTTATCATCAGCCCCAAGGATTGGGGTCTTCTGTTTGAAAATGAGATCAGTTCATAACTTCTGAAGAACTCTTGCTGTGATCCTGGGCTGGAGAGAAGCTGTTCAAAGCAGGCACCTCCCTCAGTAGTGTGGCCTGAAGATGCACAGGCCCCCTTCGCTTGGTGATAATGCCCCCACTGCCTAACAGGATGCTTGAAATTCCCAGCTGGCCTTCCTCGGGAATAAGGCCTTAAAATCTGATTTTGCCTTTGATAAGTGGTATTTGGAATAGTCACACATTAAAATATTACTGCTCTCTAACAGCGCAGTACCAGTTAGTATATCTGATTAGCCAGAAGGATCACTTCTAAAGGCACAAAAGGAATGGTAGAACAAGGCTGTATCTTCATTCATAAAACTCTGAGAAGCTAAAGAACAAACAAGATCCACTCTTAGGAGGGGCGCAGCCAGAAGCCACTGTGGAGAGGGCCTGGGGTTACTCAGAGGAAAACATGGGGATGGGGGGCACACCCAGGTGACAGCGGATCATGTGAAAAACAACATAATCAGTGCAGAGAAGACTCGGACATAGGACTCCCACAACCTTAACCTGCTCCCAGAATGTATAGGTCACAACTTTGCTTTGGGACACTTCTGTATATAAGTGCAAAACAGAAGAGGGGAACAAGATTTAGGTTCCCCATCTCCCATAATCTTAATATGCACATGCTAGTATTGTGAATGGAGTAGAAAAGGCTTTCCTTCTCAGGAAATGAAAAACACTTTCACTCTTGTTAACAGTTTTCTCCACTTACAAATCTGTAGAACTGATTAAAAAATATTTGAAAGGAATATTAACACCCATAGATATTAAGTTATTTGGGCAAAATATGCTAATTATTTCCACTTGATTTATAATAGTGAAAAACTGATTGCAACCTAAATGCCTTTGAAGCAATAACTAGTTAAATTCTGCTACATACAACAGAATCTATGAATACAGATATTTCATGAAATATCATGAAAAATGATATTTCCCTATGAATATACATGCAAAGGGATGTGTTTAGAGATATTCACAAATAGACGGTGTTAACAACGATAACCATTAGAATCAAAACTTAGTTCATTTTGTTTTTCCTCTGTTATTTTTTTTGTTTTTACTTTAAATCTGTATCTTTTCCAAAAGTCATAATACATTTCCTCGCTGAATCCTTTTACCTCAGAATGCTTTTCTTCCCCTGCTAGTCTTTGACTAAAACCACTGCCAGCTAAAATAAGCAAGGATTGTGAAGTAGTATCCGTGCGCGTGAACAGAGTGGCATCCACACTGGAGGACATCTCATCCATGGCTGTGAGATCAGGAGACAAATGGAAGTGGTGGTTCTAATGCAGGAAAGTGCAACCTGGATATTTGGCATTCCGTATAGAATTCTAGCTCTTAGACTGACAGGCATCGATTGTTACCGTTTCTTGCCTTTGGGCGCTGAGCATGTTATCCTCCATTGTATTTAACTTACTATAAAATGGTATTAGCTATGCTGCTACTTAAGCTATCTTCTGGCCAGTCAGCTTCTGTCTTTTTGAGGGCTATTCCCCCTCACTGCCCCACCCCCCTCCCCTCACCTCAGGGCTGTACTCTGAGTAGCAGAGTAGAGGGATCTCTGTATGTTGAATCTATCTGTACCATTTAATTATTAAAACATTCTAAAAGGCACATCTCCAAAATGCAGACCATTGTCCTATTTGTCCTTGTCATCTGGGTTGTTGTACTTATTTGCATAGTTGTAACATTCCTTTATTTTTTTAATGGTTGCAAGATCTGTGGTAATGTCATCTCTTTTTTTTCTACTGATGGTAATTTTTTCTTATCTCTTCCCCCTCACATAACTGGTCTCACTAGAAGTTTATCAAGTTGTCATTTTCCGAAGAGATTTTATTAGGTTTTAGTAATATTCTAATACATAATTTCCTATTCTATGTTACTATTATTTTATTTCCTACATCATCACTTTAATTCCTCTATATATTCTTTCCTTCCTTTTACTTTGATTTAATTTGCTCTTCTCTCGCTTCTTGATATGGATGCTTAGATTGATTTTAGCACTTCTTTTATAATTGAGCATTTAAAACTATACATTTTCGGGCGCTTGGGTGGCTCAGT